CCTAGACGCTGAACCAAACGTAGAAAGCCTTACGCCGGGGGTCCTTTGCTGTCTGAACCTCCAGAGAATGTCTAAGTCCAAGTCGTCAAGGCAAAGATTAGGCTTTTGGGGTGTAGGGTCTAGGGCTTAGGGCTTAGGGTCTTAGGACAACCCTAAACCCTAAACCCTAGACCCTAAACCCTAACTCCATCTTCGGCCCTCGACCGTTAAACCCTCTGCTTCGGCTTGGCTGTGGGGCTGAGGGCTACTACCTTTGGCCTGAACACGAAGACCAGAGTTGAAGATTGCAGTCTTAGTGGTTATAGGATGAGATGGGCTTCAGGGTTCAGGTTTTCGGGGATTTTAGCTATGGGGCTCTGAATAAGCATCATGGGATTTACATAGAGAGGTCTATCATCCTACTCCAAGGGAACATTGTCACAACTCATACCCTATAGCCTGAACCCTAAAAGCCCTTGAAGCCTGAAGTTCTCTACGCTCTTGAAACCATGAAACTTTGCCCATTAATATAGGGGCCTTAATGCTTAGAATAGGGTTTCGGGGTAAACTAAACTGCTATAACAAGGAACCCTCAAAATAGTACTGGTAATGAGTTAGGCCCTCTATTAACCCGGGCCGTGATCGCGAAGGCGGCCGCTGCGACTCCGCCGGGGGCGTGGGCCACTGAGGCCTTGACTGTCCAACCCAAGCCCTAAACCCGAAACTGCCGATTCTTTGCCTGACGCCCGAAACCCTGAACCCTAAGGCCTAAAGCCCTAAAGCCCTAAACACCAAACCCTAAAAGGTGTGCGCTAGGTTGAGCCTTGTTTGGGGGGTTTGTGAATTTGGGGTTCCAGTCTTTCGGATGTTCATTAAGCGCAGAAGCTGTTTTTTCCATCCAGACTGCATCACCCTACACCCTAAACCCCTAAAGATCCCTAAAGCCCTCACCCCTAAACCCCTAAACCCCTAAACTCTAGGGGTTTTGGGGTCTTGGGATCCATCTGCTCCTGGCTGTCGCAGTTGTCCATGTCTACGTCGGCGGCCATGATGTAGCTACACCACTTCTGCTGCGACTTCTGACGCTTGTGCTTCTTTGTCACCCGTCGATAGAGCCTCGGAAGGATTTAGTAAACCCTAAACCCTAAACCGTGTTTAGTACACTTCGGGACTAACGAGTCTGAGCTCGGAAACTCGGACGGAGGCTGTTTAAGTTGAAGGAAACCCCTAAACCCTAAACCCCTAAACCCTAAACCCTAAACCGTCGCAGGTTTAGAGCTGCCTGGGTCTCCCATCCTCTTGTCACCACCGCGCTCCGAAGGTCTCTGCCATTGCAGGGTTTAGGGTTTAGAGTTTAGGGTTTGGGGCTTTAGGGTTTCAGGGTTTAGGGTTTAGAGTTTAGGGTTTAGAGTTTAGGGTTTAGGGTTTAGAGTTTTAGGGTGTAGGGGTTTTGGGGTTTAGGGGTTTAGGGTTAGGAACTACGTCAGCTTTCTTGCGCCGATGTCCATCCACGGTCTCTCATGACCTCCCTCTTCCCTAAACCCCTTGAGCCTGAAGCCCTGTGATCGTCAAAAGGCCAAAGCCATCCTATAAACTAAAACCCTAAACCCAGGACCCCAAAACTCTAAAAGCCTAAACCGTAACCCCAAAACCCGAAACCCTGGACTCCAAAACCCTAAAACGCGAAACCCTAAAACCCCAAACCCTAGACCCTGGACCCCCAAACGCTAAACCCAAGAACCCTAAACCCTGGGACACCAAAACCCTAAGCCCCAAACCCAACAACCTTAAACTCTAACCATCTAACCCTAAATTCTAATCTCCCAATGCCTAAACCCTAAAACTCTGAAACCTTTAACCCCAAAACCCTAAACCCGCAACGGCAAGTCTGCGTCCCCCCACGCGAAGGGAGCCACCGCAGGAGCAGCGGGCGCCTCTGCTGCATAAGCCTAGATAGAAACCCTTCACTAGGCCCTATACACGCTACATGCATTGAAGCTTCGGCGCTTTTGGAATGTAGGGATTAGGATGTTAAGGAAGTCGAATGTATGGATCTAGGGTGATTAAGGGTGAATTCAGGAATTCTGGCGCTTCAGTGCACTTCACTGTGTCTGAGTCTGCAAGGTAGGGCATAGGCCATAGGCTGCAAATCCTCTGCGGCTTTCTGCTACAAGGCGCACTCAAGGCGCGAAGTCTAGGGTTTCCAATTCAGCACTCTGATCATGAAGGCGAAGGGACGTGAGGCTTCACAAGGTTGTTAGTTTTGGGGGCTTCGCACTTAGGGATTCAGGGTTCAAGGGTTTAGGGTTTCGGATTTTGGGGTTTAGGGCGAGGCACACGACAACGGCCGCCTGAACCTGCGAAGCATCGATAACCTCTGGGCTACGGACAGCCGGCTGGGGCAGAATGCCCGGGGTGGAGGGTGTAGCATTTAAAGCAGTTGAAGCCTTGGTTTAGCTCACTACCCATAGGCCCCTAAGTAGTTCCTTTTGGGGATTACCTTATAGGATTCTATATACAAACCATAATAAAGGAACTTCTTAGGGGCCTATGGGTAGCTCACGACTCTTAGAGCCGACGCGCATCACTCCCAAACTCAACACCCGACCCTGAACCCTAAAACCTCAAACACTGAAGCCTAAAATGAAGTAAGGGCCCTCCCCCCCTGCCAAACCTCAGAAACCGCCCAAACCCCAGAGCCTAAACTTGCCCTAAACCCTAAACCCCAAAGCTCAGAAACCCCCAAACCCCAAAACCTGAACTTACCCTAAACCCTAAACGATGAACCCCAAACCTCAGAAACCCCCAAACCCCAAAACCTAAACAACTCGACTCCAAACACGCCGCGAGCCTCGGGAAAGGCGGGGAAGGAGGCAAAGTCAGTGGATGCTGGCGGAGGTGCCTGAATTGAAGGGTTTAGGGTTGTAGGGTTTAGGGGTTTCGGGGTTTAGGGGTTCAGGGCTTCAGGGGTTTATTGTAGGGTTTAGGGGTTTCGGGGTTTAGGGTTTTAGGGCTTCAGGGGTTTAGGGGTTTAGGGTTGTAGGGTTTAGGGGCTTCGGGTTTAGGGTTTATAGGGCCAGGATCTGGGCGGCATCCCCGCTGACCCAAACTTGCACGGCGGTAGCGGCAGCCAGTCGAATGGTGTCCTTGTGGAGCCTAAACCCTAAACCCTAAGCCCTAAACCCTACGGGTATTGTGCTCTCTGGGAGCGCCATCTGGAACCGCACTTCTGTCATTGTTTCCTGGAGCCCTGCCAGCTCCGCTGCGTGTCGCCTCTTCATGTCCCAAAGCGCCTCTCACCCTCTTTGCCCGCTGCGAGCTCTTTTTCCTTTTGAATATGAGCATAGGAAAGAAAATGAGCCGCCGTAGCTGCGACGCCACATAAAATGCAGCGGCTGGCGTGGTCCACGGCTCGGGCCATCTTCACGTCGCGCACACGTCGGTACATGTGCCAAAGAATCCTAACCATCACCGCTTCCAGCTACCGAGAGTGCCTTCCAAAGTGGATCGAGCTCCCAGCACCAGAATACAAGATGGTACGGTATATGTAACATACAACCTGCACGTAATGGCTGCATGTATGTATGTGATCATTTGTTCGGACTCTCCTAAACCCTAAACCCCTAAACCCCTAAACCCTAAACCCCTAAAGCCCTAAATCCGAAATCCCTAAACCGTAAGCCCCTAAACCCCGAAACCCGTAAACCCTAAAACCCTAAACCCTATACCCCTCTGTTCCTTCGATCATGCCTTCGGCGCTTCTGACGTGCATGCCCAGAACGGGGCCGCGACGGATGCCGCAGACATTGAGGGTTTAGGGTCGGGACTTGGCGTTATTAGGGGATGGAAGGATCATGGGTAGTGTGAATCATAGTCCTCGTCATGCATGTGATCTTCGGGATGCGACTAGTGACTATATAGTCATGCCCATCACAGCCACTCTGTCACCGTCCTAGTGAGGACCCATGCACCTTCAAGCAGAAGCCCTTGGGCTTAACAGGTGACAGGTTCAGGGTTTAGGGTTTGGGGCGCATACATTCAAAAGCGTGTGTACTATGGTTGGGCAAGTTACCAAAAAGTGCCGGGGCTGTTGAGTGGGTCCGGCTGGGTTTGAAAGGCTGTAAAGGATCCATGGCTCAAGACTGGGGCCACAGCTAAGGCAAGTATGCTTGGTTTGGTTACATACCGGCTCGCTTAGAATGCCAGAATATGTTATCAGGTACTCAGAAATAACCAATGAGTTAAGACTCTTGGTCTAAACCTACACCCGCAAACCCCAGGAAGAACTCCTAAACCCATCCAGAACAATGCAGTGAACCAAAAAAACAACAATTAATTTGGGGCAGACGAATCTCGGACATTCGGAACCCCAACTGGACTTTGCAGCGGGGCTTAGGGCTTTGGGGTTTAGGGCTTAGGGTTTGGAAACATTCACACATATCAAAAAAACCGTCCCTTTCCAAGGACAGATAAAAAAGCAGATCATTCGGAGGAAGCTTGAAGGTGCAGGTTGTCAAGGGTCAGGCTCAACCCAAAAGCCCTAACTCTAAACCCTAAGCCAGACAAAAATCCTTAAACCCTAAACCAAAAAAAACTAAACCCTAGGCTAGGGTTCGGCACCTTCCTGCCTAAGCTATTACATGCTACATAAGGCATGATCATGCCCTTAAACATGCCCATAAACATCCTACCCCATGAAATCAGCATGACACACAAAAGCTTTTGTCGGCCCTTTTGTTCTCCGCATCGTCTCAGCTTCGCGATGACCTGGCCGGACAGATGCTTCAGAGGAGAAGAGAGAGAGCGAGAGAGTGCAAGAGAGAGAGAGAGAGAGAGAGAGAGAGAGAGAGAGAGAAGGGCTGCGACATGAGGCACTTGTAACTCTGCCACACCTCTTTTTTCTGTCTCGCTTCCCCCAGCATTGCGTCCCCCCGCATGAACTGATGCACCTGCTTTCAAAGGCACATTAATCATTCACAGTGCCGCTCCGTTTCTTGAGTCGGGCCCTGTGAAGATGGTCCTCACTCCTCACCTAGAATTTCATTGACCTTCTGCCAAATCAACTTATGCACCTGCTTTGCAGGCACATTAAACTCCTTTAGCGATTCTTTCCGTTTCTTGAGTCGGGACCTCTGTTTGTCGGGTCGGACCAAGAGAATGGTCTCGAGGAAATAGATCTCGGACCCGGTCACCCGTGCAAGCTGCAAAGTTGCAGGCCCTTGTGCAAGAAGATCTCGGGCCTCCTGGGCCTCAGTCGGCAGATCTGGCCACGACAGTGCCTCCTGCAGCTCGGCGAAGGACTTCTGGAATGAAACAAAGTACTTGTCCAGGACCTTGTAGAACGGTCGTTCCTTGAGAACTGTCTGATTTGCCAGTGTGCAAAGTGCATCCCAACTCGTGCCATTGGCCAAATCAGCCTTCCAGTTTCTGCCGCTCTCGGTCCCTCCTGCCCGAAGCCGCAAGTCCTCGAAGGCCTGCCTGGAACCCGCCAGCTGCATGCGGAATGCATCATGGCTGCTCTTCCGAACGCAATCTCGGGCCTTGGCAACGGCCTGCTCGACATCTTTGTACGATGCCGCTTGCAGGTCATCCCAAGCACGGATCAGGCCAGTGAGGCTTTGGACGTCATGATCGGGCCCGGACGACACATGCTGTTCAATCTTCAACCCTGTCAGGGTCTTTGAAAGCCTCGGCATCTCTTCTGCATCGGGAATCATGGCTTTCACCACTGCAATTGCCAGCTCGCACTTTGCAATTCCCAGAGCCGGATCATTGACCAGTCGGTCCAACCAGGCTCTGGCCTCGCAGCTTTTGCCGGTAATACCCACGTGGCAAAGTGCCTGAGATGTTCCAAAGCAATATGCACACTCTACTCAGCGATAATGAGGCCTGTGATGGCCCAAAACCTTGAGCTGTCCTACTGTCCTATGTCCGCCCGGATAATGCAAACTCATCCTGTTTAAAGTTACACACATTTTAAAACAACGCGACATGTGATAACTGGGCTGTGGCTGACCAGTAGTGGCTAGCTGCCAGCTAGTGGCTAGTGCTAGTGAGTGACTAGTGAAGCTATTGTGCAATGTGACCAAGGTCGCTACAGTCATTGCATGATGGCAGTATGCCCGATCACATATGAATTAGGTCTGCATAAACTTACAGAAGAACCAGGTCAACTGTTGAACGCTAAGGGCGCTATGGCTTCTAAGGCACTCTAAGCATTCCAAGTTCTATGGCATGTTTGGAATGGATGCTCAGATCATAATGTCGGGACTGGCCATACATGGCTCATGCCATGCAATTTGGGTCCTGGAAGTTTCTGTCGGCTTGTTATGGGAGTGAAGGGATGTGATCACAGGAAGGGGGAATCCCAGCAGCCTGGCATGACCCAGGCAGAATTGCTCTCTGCAACATGAGGCATCAAGTTGACAAAGCTAGGAACTTCAATCTATCTCCATTGAGTATAAATAAAGACTTGCCCTGCAAAGTCCGCTTCAAGACCACTCACATGAGAGTCTAAGTCCTGGGTCCTGTCCCAGGTCCTTGTACAAGTAAGTGTCTAGAGTCTAGAGTCTAGAGCAAATGGGCTAAGTGGAATTAGACAAACTGCAACACAACAATTTGCCAGGAAAGTTGCGCTAATGTCCGCAGTAGCAGTTTCCACGTCTTCCGGTGAAAGTTCTTTTCCTGGGTCCAGCGCAGCATCGAGCCAAGCCAGTGCTGTTCGACTTCTCAGTCGCACATTGAGCTTGTCGATGGTAGACTGGAAGTTCTCTCTTTCCAGAGAAAAACTCGGACCCAGGATCGCGACTTTCCTGGCCCAGCCCTCTCGAAGGTTGAAGACTCGGACCTCAGTGCTAGCAATATCTCTTGTCTTGAAGCAAACGTTGGGTCCTTGTTCATGGATTGAAAAGAAGCACTGCGCATGACCCTAGTAGTTCATTGTAACTGGGATTTGCATTTGCATATCTGTAGTAAAGCCGCATAGCTGCTGTGGTTACCATTAAATTCATTAAATCTGTTCATGCATGACAAGCTAGAGTGACAGCTGGCTATATGTTATCTAGTATAAGGATTTCATGATTTGGATAGTGCCTGCAAACATCATTCACCAGTCAAGACTCCAGCTCTGCTGCACTTGCATCTGCAGCATCTTGTGGGTCAGACTCTTCGGCATGGAGCAGCCTTGAATGAAGCTTCTGCAACTCCACTGCCAAATGCTGTCGGACCGCCGAAGCCAAAAAAGCCAGAGTCTCAGGCTTCAAATCTTGAGACCAGGCACTCCAATTGGTTTGCATGTCGGCCCAGACTCTATCCAGCTGCTCTTCAGCACCGCCCTTCAAAGCTTCCAAGCAGTCTCGGACCACGGGCTCATGCAGCACCTGGCTACTGGCGCCCAACCAGAACACGTCGAACCTTTTTTTCCAAATGGCGTTCTGCAGGAGCTTTGCCACCTTGGAGGTTGCTGCAATGGACAGCACCGGATTGTGCTTCCTTTCGGACCATGCTTCCAGCTGATCTTGTCGGACCGGGAGGGTTTGCACCAAAGCACCCACCCCTCGGACCGTTTGCAGCATGAGCTTGGCCTCGTCAAACTCCATGATGTCAGGAGATGCTGCAGACTTCTGCAGCATTGTCTCGCTGAGCTCTTGCAGGCCAGCCACATCATCGTTGTGCATCATCTCCGGCAGACAGTAAGACACAACAATGTCATGTGCAAATCTGACCTTCTCCTCCTGACTCATGGCCAGGGTTGCCACTCGGGCCTCTTCTGCATTGAAGACTTCCTGTGACGACTCGGGCCACACAATCTCAATGCAACGAGCAATGTTTCGGTCCTTCATCACTCTCTCGGACCTCCTTTGCACCAGTCCCTTGCAAGTAACCAATGGCAGCGGGCCTGACCAGAAGGGTTGCAGTGTGACAAGATGCTGGCTAAGGAGGTCATCTTCGAGCTTGCCGACAGATGAAGGCCGAAGAGCCTCTGCCGCATGAAGGGCCGCCAAGCGACTCTTGTATCGGGCCACGTCCCCGCCAGCTTTCTCCATGGCAGGCATTCGCTCCCGCATGTGATACAATGTCACTTTTGGCTTCTCGCAGTCATCAATAAGAAGCTTTTCGATCGACAAATCGTCTTGCTTCGGCCCGGATGTTTTGGACTTTGGTGTGCCAATCGAACCGACACGCCGCCTTTTCCAAGATGCAGGAACGGCAGACACATCGGACCATCTGGCCGAGCTGCTGGCCTGCAGGCAAGACTGCTTTGCTGTTTCTTTGTATTTCTGATGGAATCAAAAAGCTGCTATTCATGTCGCCTCGTCCTCATACTACATATACTTATACAAAAAGCAACTTACACTGGCATGCACAGCATGAAGACCCAAAGGTTTTTACACATGACTTGACTCTAACTGCAGACGATACATGAACACTGGGGACATTTGCCAACATCATGGTAACTTGCAGGATGCAGCTTGGATTAGCAACGTTGACTGGGCTCTTAACTGCCTTGCCTCTTGAAAGCAGTTGTCGAGTTGATGGGCTGCTTCCGTCGCAGCTGCTGCGGCATTTTTGGTGGACTGCAGCACCTTCTGCAAGTTGCACTCTCCCGGAACTTCTCCTCGTTGCAACTGCTGCATACGCTCCAGGATGGCAGCAGTGCCTGCAGCAGCGCTTGCTGCTGCTGCTGCCGATGCCGCTGCAGCTGCAGCTGCTCCACTCAGTGCCCTCAATGTGGGATCTTCATTGCCGGTCCTGACTTAGCATCTTGCCAGAAAAAAAAACATTGCCGCAGCTGTAGCTCTGGGTGCACCAAGCCCATGCATCAGTCAAGCAGGCTATGCTCTTCAAAGGCAAATTAAGGATTAGGCCCAGGCATTTGGTCTACAGGACATGGCTGGACGAGAAGGGGGCTACCCTTGTTTCTGCAGTCTGGGTTTAAACTGCTAAGTGTTGGTTCACAATGCCTTGTGTTTGGTGCCTCTGCAAGTCCACAAACTTCTAGGATACAGGCCAAGAGAAAGTTTCGTTCTGTAACCACTGTAACCCTTTCTGATCTGAGTTCTGCAAATCTTAGTCTGAAGAAAAACTTATACCCATAGTGGTTGGTGATTACATTGTTTTCATTCAAAGTTCAAGCAGCTGCACTGCTCAGCACATGAACATGAACCATTCATGAACAATGGTAGACTCTTTTAATTTAAGATGTTGGAACATACAATAGAAAATAGAAAATGTTCTATTGACCGTGCTATGCTTCGTGGCTGGGCTCGGGCCATTGCTAGGACCATCCGTGTTCGGGCCATTCGGGGTCGCCAAAAGTGGGCTGGATGACGACGTGGGCGTTGTCTCGCCAAAGAGGTTAGAAGTGCCTCCGGAGTGTGTACCATCCATCCCCGACTGACGGCAATCTATGGTTTCTCACATTTATCGGCTGTTTTTCTTTTGCCTAAAGTTGAGTCCCTGGATTTTTGTTTATGAGTTTATGCTGCTGGCTGTCATTAACTCACAGAAACTAGAGCAGCAGTATGCAGTGATTGCCTCTTTTGGAAACGGCACTGGCAAGCAGCATGGGTGTTCAAGACTCAATGGAAAGGAAAGCACCGAGCGCCGCAGCATGCTGCATATTCAGTCCAAGCCTAGGGCCTAGGCCCATGCATCATGCTGCATGTCAGCTCATGTTACCCTGGCACCCAGTGTAAAACATGCCAGGCCATCAAGGCAATCTCGGGCCCGGAAATCCTGTTGCCTGACCTCAGAGAACTTGCATGTGCATTCATGGAGCATGTAAAGTCCAGTGTTGAGCACCTGCACTGTCTAAGTCTAAGAAGCGAGACTTCTCAGGAACTGCACCCCGGGCTATCGAGACAAGCAAAAGTCAACAGACCGGGAAAACTGGTCATGGTGCATGGCAGGCATGTCTTTCAGCATGTTGCAATGCTGATAAACCAGAGTTGTCACTGACTCTCTCTGACACGAACAGAAGACTTACACTTGCACTTTAAACAAAACAAAAATGCACCACTGCCAGACTTTGGCAAGACTCCATGCTGCTCTAAGTTGCGGGCACTATGAGACGGAGACAGAAGAAGAGGGGGCGAGACAGACACCGGGAGGGAGGCCAAGGAACATGATGTGTATAACTTGGCAATGCCCAGAGCCAAGGAACTCAAAAGAAGTAAAAGGGCAATGGAACGGAAAGCAAAAGCAACATGAGAGAGAGGATATACGACGTGCAGCTCTATTCCTCCTGATTCTGAGGCCGCGACTGCTCGCCGACTGTGTCAAATTCGGCTGAGTCAGCCGAAACGACCTCTGTATGGACAACAAGACCAGCTGCATGCAGCAT